TAGAGCTAAGATATTAAGCATGAAACATCTTCTAATGCGTGTATACCAAGTTTGTTCAAATAAAAGGCATGGGGTCGAAATTGGCCCTGCCCTGGGTGTCATTGATTTTCCTTATATGTATATAGTAAAACTTTAAAAACTTCTTTTGAAAAGACCAAATAGCTAGAGGTTAGATATTAACCCTTTCCCCCATGAGCATATTGTGAAAAATGGCCGTTTTCACTGAAAAGCCTCCTGTTACAAGTTCAAACTCCTATGAAACTATGAAAAATGCTTCAATACTAATTAAACTTGGCACAAATGTTGACTGTACCATTGCCTTTGTAATGACATGCACAGTCTTAAATTTTCTGTTATCGTGGCAACGAGGGGACATCTCAAAATTGCCAAAAACCACTATTTTGCCTCGATTTTTTCCATTAAAATTTATTTCAAAGTGCTGCAACTTCTCAAGGGATTGACATTGAGTCAAAGGCTTTTCAGCGTTGGTTACACTTTACATTATGATCGACCTGGGGTCATTTTTAGCCTCTCACAAGTCCAAAATTTTCTTGGCGATGAGGGGGCCTCTGCCCCCCTTCAAACCCCCCTAACAGAAGGGGGCATATCCCCCTTCTGGCAACCCCCTGATGAATCTTTTGGATGGGGGCGGCGCCGAAAAAGTGCTCAATTTTTAAGCAACATTTCTCAAACGAAAACATGTGTTAGGGGCCCAAATAATGACATTTTTTCACTATTTGAGGCCTAAAAAGGGGGGGGGGGGGGGGGTCGAAAGTGCGTTGTTTCGCGTATATATGAGGTAAAGGGTTAAGCAAATTGTCATAATTTTACCTTGAAGGTTAATGGCAATATAAAGGTCAAGGTCACATCAGAAGAATTCAATATCTTGGTTTCGTCATGTGTTCTTTTGTCCAACAAAGTTATGACAATTTAAGCCAAATTCATTATTTATCTTGACAGTTAAGGTCAGATAAAGGCCAAGGTCATATTTGAATAACATTACATCTCAGTTATATGTGCTCTTTTGCCTAAGTATACCTAAAATAAAAAATCGAGCAAAATCAAACATTTGACCTTGAAAGCCAATGTCATTTATCAATCAAGGGTAAGTTCAGTCTTGTCACTTTGAAGGTCTTGTCCAAATGGTTGTTTTGTCTGGCGTGGGTTCGATCCCCGGAAGATGCTATTGTAGTTTAGCGCGGAGGAATTTAAGGTAGTCTAGTACTGGTGTAACTCTCCAGGAACGATGGTTAGGAAACTACCCGCCTATATGACTGAAATACTGTTGGAAAAAGGCGTAAAATGAAACAAACAAACGAATGGTTGTTTTGTCAAAGTATAAGTTACATACATGTACTTAAGATGTTTGCTGTTTTCGATTTGCAATAGATTTTTTCTGATATAACTCATATCAACTGATACAGATAAGACCTGTTGTATTAATGCATGTAAGATATTATTTTAGTTTCATGTGAATAAGAATAGAAAATATCAATAAAATGTTTTATTATTTTTGCTTTAAAAGGCTTTGTTTATCTTATCTGAGGGAAAGCATGTGTTAATAAAGGAGAGCTGCATAAACAGGTAGTGTGTGTTTATTGGCAGTTAAACACTGTTTTTAGCTCGACTATCCGATAAGAATAAGTAGAGCTATTGTAGTCACCCGAGCGTCTGCGTCCGTGTCGGCGTAACCCCTTATGTTAAAGTTTTTGTAATACCTCAAACATTTTCAAAGTCCATTGACATATGGCTTTGAAACTGTGCACACTTGTTCACCATCATGACCCCAACCTGTAAACAGGAGGAGGTAACTCTATCAAGCATTTTGACAGAATTATGCCCCCTTTTCGACTTAGAATTTACGTTAAAGTTTTTGTAATACCTCAAATATTTTCAAAGTCATTGACATAAGGCATTGAAACATGTTGAAATTTTATACTCTTCTTTGAGAGCATAATAGGACTCTCTCCAAGGCCTATAACTGTAATATGGATTTAAAGAAAATTTTTGCCTTTTTCTTTACTGAGAAAATTTTACCTTTTAATCAAGGCTTTTTTTACTATCAAACACTAAGAATAGTCGAGCATTGCTGTCCTACCGACAGCTCTTGTAAGCTCACCTGAGTACATTGTGCACAAAGGGTGACCTTTTGGGATCACTCTGCATCCGTCGTGTGGTGTACATCAATAATGGCATAAAACTTTTTCTTAAAACAGCTCCTCCTATACCATGCAATAGGCCAATATTCTTAAAACTGAGCGGGAAAGTTCCTGGCATATTGTTCAAAGAATTCCATTCCATGCTAAATTCTGGTTGCAATGGCAACTGAAAGAAAAAAAAAAACTTCTAAAAAACTCCAAAGAGCTAGAGCTTAGATAATTAGTGGGTGTCTACAAAATTTGTTCCAAGAAGTCAAAATTGGCCCTCCCCATAGGGTCATTGATTTATTTTATATGTACAGTCATGTTCATAGAATTATAGTAAAAACAAAGAAAATCTTCTTAAAAAACCTTAAGAGCTAGAGCTTAGATATTTAGCATGAAACATCTTTTAGTTGGCATATACAAAGTTTGTTCAAATTAAACCCCTGGGGTCAAAATTTGCCCTGTTCAAGGGGGTCATCGATTTTCCTTATTGGCCGGGTTGCACTGGTGCAAACCCGTGTTATAGAATGGTGTATGTCGGGCGGGGAAAACTTTTCGTAACAGTTTTCACAGCAACTACTTATCACAGCCTCTTGATATTTGGCATACAGCATTTACACGTAGTCCCATAACGTGGGATTCAATTTCAGGTCTGTCACGCATCCACTTCCTGTTTATCTACTTAGTTAAATTTTCCATGTAGGAAATTTTGGTAACAGTTTTCTCAGCAACTACTTATCACACAGCCTTTTGATATTTGGCATACAGCATTGACACATGGTTCCATACCATGGGATCCACACCGTGGGATTCAATTTCAGGTCTGACGCTTATCCACTTCCTGTTTATCGACTTAGTTAAATTTTCCACATTTATGGTCAATAGTAGGAAATTTTCGTAACAGTTTTTTGAGCAACTACTGATCACAGTCTCTTGATATTTGGCATACAGCATTCACACGTGGTCCCATATCGTGAAAAATGATTTCAGGTCTGTCGCTCATCAACTTCCTGTTTATCAACTTAGTTAAATTTTCGACATTAATGGTCAATGGTAGGAAATTTTCGTAACAGTTTTCTCAGCAACTACTTATCACACAGCCTTTTGATATTTTGCATACAGCATTGACACATGATCCCATAATGTGGGATTCAATTTCAGGTCTGTTGCTAATCCACTTTCTGTTTACTGACTTAGTTAAATTTTCCACATTAATGGTCAATAGTAGGAAATTTTCGTAACAGTTTTCTCAGCAACTACTTATCACACAGCCTCTTGATATTTGGCATACAATATTCATTCAGACATGGTCCCATACCTTGGGTTTTTATTTCAGGTTTGTTGCTCATCCACTTTCTGTTTACTGACTTAGTTAAATTTTCGACATTAATGGTCAGTGGTAAAATTTTTTCTTAACATCACAGCATCATGTTATTTTTATTATACAAATGCAACCTGGTCTTTTCTGTTTTTGATCCATTTTATGTAAATATTAAAAACAAACAAAATGTCTTCTTGTAAAAACCTTTAAGACGTTTTTGGGAGTTTGCATATTAAAACGGTTCAATAGAATTTCTTTAAACTTGGCATGTTGTTAGAATATGATAACAGAAACATTTTAAGTGAAAAAAAATGGGTCACCAGTTTATATAGCATGAAAATCTCAATAAATTTGAACTTTCACTCTTGAATTCTTCAAAGGTACTATAGACGCTTCAGCTTAGATATTTGTACTCTCCTGCGCATCGGTCGAATGTTCCACTATCGCTCACGTCTGAAGTAACGGGAGTGTATTCAGTAAGCTGCGAAGGGAGCGTAAGATATTTGATATGAAACATTGTCTAGTAAATCTCTACAAAAAAGTTGTTCAAATTCTAGCCCTGAGGTCAAAGATTTTTTATATGTATATAGTAAAAACTTAAAAAAAAGATTTTTTTTAAATCAAAAAGAGATAAAGCTTAGTTTCCATAGTAACCAATGACATTTCATAGCAAACTGTAAATGTTCATAGCAACAAGTGAATCTAAAATTGAATTTTATAGGAGGAACTGACTTCCAAGGAAACTATTTATTTTGTATATTGCAACCAGTGACTTCTTATGTATTTAGAAATAGCAGCCAGTTATAATTTTACTCATACATTGTTTCAGATACAAATATGAATTTTGTGTCTGCTTTCATTTATAGTTTACAATATAACTGTTTCCTTGTCTTGGAGAGTATTAATATTCAGGTTAGCTATATTAGGCCCATCATGGCCCTTTTAATTATTCTTCTTTGTGTATAGTGACAAAATCACGAGGTACATGTATGTTAGAATGAACATTATTTTAAAAATCTGTAATGAAATTAGAAAAATAGCATCTTATCACCAGTATTATTAACATGGGCCAAGTTGACTCATACTGAGTTTATATAGGGCGGAGATGACTTTGGTGACAATTTATGTGTTTAGGACCGAGCTGGTTAGAAATAGCTGGACAGCATTCCAGTAAGGCAGTTGAAATTTTGTAAATCTGAAAATGGCATGAATTAATGGCAAATAGGATTTATATCATGAATTCCTCTGACTTGATTTTATTTTATCTTATTTAGCAGCTGATCAGATCATATTATACATGTAGTTTTAGTTCCGACAGGGACTTTGGATTCTTTCATGTGAGGAACCTTTCCCTTTCCAGCTAGCTTACGGAACATGTGTGGCTCTATCTGGTGCCTGTTTGTTCCTGAAATAATGTGCGAAAAGGCACCCGGGGTCTTCCTCCACCAGTAAAGCTGGAACATCACCATACATGTATACTGTGTGTCGGTGTGACGTAAAAACCCAATCAAGCAAACTTATAATAAAAACTTCTTTTATTAGGCACCCATTGGTGGAACATCCAAGAATCATCCTTTGTCTACAGCCTGTCACAGGCATCTGGACCAAAAGAAATTTGTCATGATGTGTTATACAGAGAAGGAGAGAACAGACAGAGAGAAGTTACCTACACACCAAGACTGGTCGCATTTGATTTAAAAGTAATTTTAACCCTTACCACACTAAATGTCTTAAATATACTTGTCTATCATTCAATCTGGACTTAAACATGAATTATTATGCTCCCCGAAAAAATTTCGAGGGAAGCATATAGTCGTCGGGTTGTCCGTCCGTCCGTCTTTAGTACCATTTTGTGAGTACGTCAGTCCGTCCGTACGTACGTCCCGAATTCGTGTCCGGTCCATAACTTTGTTATTTGAAGTCGGATTTTAAAACTATTTCACAGAAGGGATCACCATATTGAGACGACATGTCGCGCGCAACATTTGGGTCGCTACCTACTGAAATGATCACCATATTGAGATGACGTGTCGCGCACAACATTTCGGTCGCTACTTTGAAGGTCAAGGTCACAGCATCACCTTGCAGCAAAATCTTGTCCAGTCCATAACTTCGTTATTTGAAGTCGGATTTTAAAACTATTATACAGAAATGATCACCAAATTGAGACGACGTGTTGCGCGCAACATTTGGGTCGCTACCTTGAAGGTCAAGGTCACAGCATGACCTTGCAGCAAAATCGTGTCCGGCCCATAACTTTGTTATTTGAAGTCAGATTTTAAAACAATTTCACAGAAATGATCACCATATTGAGATGACGTGTCGCGCACAACATTTGGGTCGCTACTTTGAAGGTCAAGGTCACAGCATCACCTTGCAGCAAAATCGTGTCCGGCCCATAACTTCGTTATTTGAAGTCGGGATTTTAAAACAATTTCACAGAAATGATCACCATATTGAGACAATGTGTCGCGTGCAACATTTGGGTGGCTACCTTGAAGGTCAAGGTCACAACATGACCTTGCAGAAAAATTGTGTCCAGTCCATAACATCGTTACTTGGAGTCGGATTTAACAACTATTTCACAGAGATGATCACCATATTGAGACAATGTGTCATGCACAACATTTGGGTTGTTTTTACACTTTGAACTTTGTCTGTGACATAACTCTGACACTACAAGAGGTATACCCTCCTGTGTCCAAAACCTATTCGGGGAGCATCACCCGGTTCAACCGGCTCTTGTTCTTAGGGAAAATTTCAAATTATGTTGTAACTGAATTGCAGTCGACTATACAGAAGCATAGGCCTGGAAGTCCTAATTTGAAGAAATTTTGGAGGATATGTAAAAAAGGATATACATCACCTCAGTAACAATAGTTTGAAGTTTCTCTACCCAGGACTTCTTCTTTCATGTCTGGAATGTGCCTGCTATTTTTATATAGAGGGAAAACAGTTTGAAGTCATTGTATGATTTATATATGTATGAGGCTTAAGCTATTGGTGCAACTCCAACATAAATTTACCAAAAAACAAGGGTGCCATAGTCACAAAATACGCCCGTTTACGAAAGCTTTAGATGGAGATGGGGGCATTATGGATAAGTGTTATCTAGCAAGCAAGTTTTTATTCTTGGCACTGTGTTGTTAAATGAACCTTAAAACAAATCAGTAGGGAAGATATGCACAGGATGTGTGACCTTGACCTTGGTCGCAGGGACCTGAATTTTATGCACGGCACTCAGCCTCACAATGATGAACATTTGTGCCAAATTATATTGAAATCCCTCTATGCATGTAGAAGTTTTGCTCCAGACAAGCGTTTTTCTATGAGCTCTAACGGTGACCTTCACCTTTGACCTAGAGACTTGGTTCATGTGCAGGGCACTACGTCTCATGGTGGTGAACAATTCTATAAAGTAACATTAAAATTCCTCCATGCATGTAGAAAATATGCTCCGGACAACATCTGGATATTTAATCATCTCCAGTGACCTTGACCTTGCAAATATTAACCTAAATTAAATGTGTCACACCTGTAGTCATGATAGTTGCCATTTGTGCTACAATCCATCAATAAATGATGACTAAATGGTCCCTATACACATCTTCAAATTTTTATCTATGTGTAACCTTGACTTTGGTCGCAGGGATCTGAATTTTGCGTGCGACACTCAGCCTCACAATGGTGAACATTTGTGCCAAGTTATATTGAAATCCCCCTATGAATGTAGAAGATTTGCTCCGGACAAGCGTTTTTCAATGAGCTCTAAGTGTGACCTTGACCTTTGACCTGGAGACCTGGATCATGCATGGAGCAATACATATCATGGTGGTGAACATTTCCATAAAGTATTATAAAAATTCTTCCATACATGTAGGAGATATGCTCCAGACAAAATCTGGATATTTCACCATCTTTAGTGACCTTGACCTTGCATATATTGACCTAAAGTACATGTGTCACAGCCGTAGTCATGATAATGACCATTTGTGTTACAATCCCTCAATAAATGATGATTAAATCGTCCCTATACACATCTTCATATTTTTATCTAAACTTTGACCTCTATGTGTGACCTTGACCTTGGCTGCAGGGACCTGAATTTTGTGCGCGACACTCCGCCTCACAATGGTGAACATTTGTGCCAAGTTATATTGAAATCCCTCTATGCATATGGAAGTTTTGCTCCGGACAAGCGTTTTTTCAATGAGCTCTAAGTGTGACCTTGACCTTTGACCTAGAGACCTAGTTCATGTGCATGACATGGCTTCTCATAATGGGTGAACATTTCTATGAAATTTCATTAAAATCCCTCCATGCCTGTAGGAGATATGCTCCGGACAAAATCTGGATATTTCATCATCTTTAGTGACCTTGACCTTGTATATATTGACCTAAATTATATGTATCACAGCCATAGTCTTGAAAATGACCATTTGTGTTACAATCCCTCAATAAATGATGACTAAATGGTCCATATACACATCTTCATATTTTTATCTGAACTTTGACCTCTATGTGTGACCTTGACCTTGGCCGCAAGGACCTGAATCTTGCGCGCGACACTCCGCCTCACAATGGTGAACATTTGTGCCACGTAATATTGAAATCCCTCTATACATGTGGAAGTTTTGCTCCGGACAAGCATTTTTCAATGAGCTCTAAGTGTGACCTTGACCTTTGACCTAGAGACCTGGTTCATGTGCGCGACACTGCTCCTCATAGTGGTGAACATTTCTATGAAGTTTCATTAAAATCCCTCCATACATGTAGGAGATATGCTCCGGACAAAATTGGACGCCGCCGCCCGCCCGCCAGGGGCGTTCCCATAATACGTCCCGTTTTTCAAACGGGCGTATAAAAAAAAGAGTTCATTTTTGGGTCTCCCTTGGCCTCTGTACTTACCCTCTTCATTCACTGCCAAACTTCGATACTGTATTTGATTATATTTCACCTTTACAAAATCTTTACTTTGAAATATTTATGCTTTGTTTTATCCGAGAGCATATAGAAAATTATTATACCCCCACCACAAAATGTGGGTTGGGGCTATAATGGATTCGCTTTGTCGCGTCGTTCGGTCGGTCGGTCGGTCCGTCTCCATTTTCGTTTCCGCTCTATAACTCGTATACCAATTGAAGGATTTTCTTCAAACTTGGCTCAAATGTTCACCTCAACAAGGGGATGTGCAGAACCCATGTTGCCCATGTGTCAGCTTAAGGTCAAGGTCACAATTGAAGGTCAAATATCAAACAATCAAATATTACACAGTATGTCGTGTCCGCTCTGTAAGTCCTACACTAATTGAAAGATTTTCTTCAAACTTGGCTCAAATGTTCACCTCAACAAGGAGATGTGCAGAACCCATGTTGCCCATGTGTCAGCTCAAGGTCAAGGTCACAATTGAAGGTCAAATATCAAACAATCAAATATTACACAAAATGTCGTGTCCGCTCTGTAAGTCCTACACTTATTGAAAGATTTTCTTCAAACTTGGTTAAAATGTTCACCTCAACGCGGGGATGTGCAGAACCCATGTTGCCCATGTGTCAGCTCAAGGTCAAGGTCATAATTGAAGGTCAAATATCAAACAATCAAATATTACACAGTATGTTGTGTCCACTCTGTAAGTCCTACACTTATTGAAAGATTTTCTTCAATCTTGGCTCAAATGTTCACCTTAACAAGGAGATGTGCAGAATCCATGTCACCCTTTTGCCGGCTTAAGGTCAAGGTCACACTTGCAGGTCAAAAATTGACTTAGAAAATATTCTTTAATTTTAACATTTATTTGAATATTTCTGAAGCTAGACAAGGTATTTGCTTGAAACTTAAAATATATATGAAGTGTCACAATTAAGATATGCTGGTCAAGTTTCATAACTCTGTATTGCATTTTAACAAAGTTATGCCCCTTTTTAAGTCTTCAAATTTACATACAGTCAAATATTAGACAATTTGTCGTGTCCGCTCTATAAATCCTATACTAATGGAAGAATTTTCTTCAAACTTTACTCAAATGTTCACCTCAACAAGGTTATGTGCAGAATCCATGTCACCTTTGTGCCAGCTAAAGGTCATGGTCACACTTGAAGGTCAAAAATAGACTTAGAAAATGTTCTTAAATTTTAACATGTACTTGAATATTTCTGAAACTAGCACAGGTATTTGCTTGAAACTTAAAAGATATATGAGGTGTCGCAAATAAGATATGCAGGTCAAGTTTCATTACTCTGTATTGCATTTTGACAAAGTTACGCCCCTTTTTAAGTCTTCAAATTTACATACAATCAATACTAGACAATATGTTGTGTCTGCTCTATAAATTCTATACTAATGGAAGGATTTTCTTCAAACTTTACTCAAACGTTCACCCCAACTGGGCGATGTGCAAAACCCATCTAACCCTTGTGCCAGATTAAGGTCAAGGCCACACTTGAAGGTCAAAAATTGACTTATAAATAAAATGTTTAGTACATTGGGAAAATGAAAGGTTATTTGTAACTGTTTCAAACATGATTCGATAATATATATTTATACTTTTAACTGTACAATTAGTCTTTTTTCACCAGAGATAATTTCTTTTTATGTATTTGTGCCACTTAAGTTATTCCCTTAACCACCTTTCCAAGTCGTCTTCTGTCAAGGACATTGGTGGGGGTATGAATCGCATTCAGCGATAGTTCTAGTTAATTTTGGCTTACATGTATATAAATAGGGAAGTTTAAAGACACTGAAGCAGGAAGGTTTACTGTACGAGACTGGAGCTGATGGTGATGATATAAAATGGATGGGGGATGTGACCATGCATAAAGAAGTCTCGGAACCTCTAAACCCCTATCTTAAGAGTTTGGAACAAGTTGAAATTGAGGATCTGTCCATAAGCAAAGATATTTCAGGTAAGTGTAAATTGTGGGTGTACAGGTCAAAGTCAAAATAATTTAAGATTTTGTCTTGTTTTCAATTATATATTTTATAAAGTTCATGTATATAACCAATAACCCACACGACTTGTGGAGAATTCTATAAATATCCTTTTTAATGTATTGTTAATATGCTATTGATAAAGAGAGTGGAAAAGTTGTTATATTTTATCTTTTTACATTTTTCATTACAATTATTGTTCAATGACCAATCTCTAAAACAGCAATTTTAGCTCTTTTCTGTAGCAAAAATTGAGAATATTGTCAATTTAAGCCTAAGAATTAAGATATTTTTTTCTTTCTGTAAAAGGGCAAAAAATTTTTAATTGTTGTTATGGATTTTTTAACACATTTTATCTCACCAAATTTGTATAATAATAATTCGCTTAAATAGTGAATTAAAAAAAAAAAAATGTTTTTTTCTTCCCTACAAAAAACTAAATCATATTTTTTCATTTTTTCCCAAAAAACAAAGGAAGCAAAAGATGGCACAGGTATAAGGTTAATTGTAATAGGACATAAAATGATATTGAAAAGCTAAGATTTTACCATTTTTAGCTCACCTGAGTACAACGAGCTCATGGTGAGCTATTGTGATCCCACACCGTCGTCAACATTTTCTTTAAACAATATCTCCTCAAAAACCAATGTCTGCACAGTAACCAAACTTTACAGAATCATCCTTGGGTGGTCCTCTTCCAAAGTTGTTCAAATGGTTTCGGTCTGTTGTATAAGTAGGTCACGGGGCTAAGATAGGAGTTTAGAAAATGCAAACTCTTAAAAATCTTCTGTCTGAAAGAACAAGGCCTAGAGCTTTTATATTTGGTATATGATATCACTTAAAGGTCCTCTACCAAAGTTGTACAAATTATAGCCCTGGGGTCCTAATTGGCCTCGCTCCAGGGCGTCATAGGTTTTCCTTATGTGTATATAGTAAAAACTTAAAAAATCTTTTTGTTTGAAAGTACAAGGCTTAGAGCTTAGATATTTGGTATATAATATCATCTAAAGATCCACTACCTAAATTGTTCAAATTATAGCCCTGGGGGTCATAGGTTTTCCTTATATGTATAAAGTAAAAACTTAAAAAACCTTCTCCTCAGAATTGACAAAGGCTAGTGGTTAGATGTTTGGCATGAAGCATTGTGTAGTGGAACTCCACCAAGATTGTTCAAATTATAGCCCTAGGGTCAAAATTGGCACTGCACCTTGTTCATAGATTTTCCTTATATGTTTTTAGTAAAAACTTTAAAAAATCCTCCTGTCTGAAGGTACAAGGCTTAGAGCTTAGATATTTAGTACATAATATCATCTATAGGTCCTCTACCAAAGTTGTTAAAATTATAGCCCTAGGGGTCAAAATTGGCCCCGCCCCGAGGGTCATAGGTTTTCCTTATATGTATATAGTAAAAACTTAAAAACCTTCTCCTCTGAATTGACAAAGGCTAGAAGTAAGATATTTGGCATTAAGCATAGCTCTCTTGTTTCATGCTTGATGGGATTTATTTATTTGGTATTCTTGAAGTGCTCTCTCAACTGTTTTGACAAAGGTTTAAGTTTCTAACCATGAGCAATTTATTAACTGTTTTTATTTTCTTTATAGATGAAGAAAAGTATGGTGACCATGACCTTGGCACAGAGAAAAAGAAACAAGTCTGTCAAGCTGGAAAAGGTGATGAAAGAGACACTTTGTCAGAAACGAAACCAGTTAATTTAGAAGATCACATAAATGTATGGTCCGATTTTCTTGGCACTAGTTTCCATCCAAAATCTGTTCACGTCGTACAAGAGTACCGTCATAAAGATAAGTTCAGTCCCTTTGATTTGTTCAATTCTGCAAACGAGGTCTTTTCCAATTACGAATCCACATGTGAATGGGAAGATAGAATCCACTATTTTACAGAAGAATGTGATAATTTACAAGGATTCCATATACTGATGGATACACATGATGGATGCGGCGGCCTTGGAGCTGGAATTCTGCGTTACTTAGAAGACGAATTTCCAGGAAAAGGAATCTTTACTTTTGGCTTCACACCTGCTGACAGTCCAGATAGTACTGCTAAGGAGCGAGCCACAAGAATTATAAATTCGGCATTAGCATATGATAATGTGACAACCCATAGTTCTCTTTTTGTGCCAGTCTCGCTGGCATCAAGTGTATGGCAAAAATTAGGAAAGCCAATAGAAATTCCATACTTGAACTATAAACCGATGGCGTATCACACTAGCGCCATATTGGCTTCAACCTTAGACACTCTGTCACTCCCATATAGACTTGAAACAAATGCAATCAATCTAAGGGACATAACGCATTCCTTCAACAGTCAAGGTCGAAAGGTTGCAACATTAAACACAAGTTTTCCTCTTGGTCTTTACAAAGATGAAAGTTTAATAGACTTTTTCAGCCAGTATGGCGAAAGGTTTCCTTGGCAACCAGTCACACCTCATGTCAAGAATGAGAAAAAACCTTTCATTCAGTCGGTAGTGATGCGAGGTGTAACAAATGCGATGGTACAAAGTAAGACAGACCCATCAAAACTTCCAGAATATCTTGCTAGATTAACTTCTAAAGAAGAGGTTTTAAGAAATTATCTCACACACATGAGTCAAGGGAATTTATTTGCTACAAACTGTCTAGAAAGTGCAATAAAAACAAAAGTTCCTTATCCACAAATTTTCAACGAAAATGTAACAAGCGATGGACTCATCTGTTCGACACAAAGACCAGAAGGAAAGCTGGTAGACTCGGTTCCAATGCTCACATCATTACAGTCAACACCGGAAGCAGGGGACGTAATTAGACAACTGTATGAATCAGCAGCTAAGATGAACATTAAAAAACATCACCGATACATGTCGGCTGGTTTAGAAGAAGACGATTATCAAGAAACTTTGGATAATCTTAAAGCTTTGGTGACATGCTACAAAACGGATGCAGAAGCGTTATAAACCTTGGATTTACTTAAGTAGAATGTTAATGTCATTTAAGTAACTTAAAGATAGTGTGCCAGTTGTCCGTCTGCAAAATAAGATCAACAAGCAATGACTGTGCACATGTTTTATGGTGTAACTTGAGTTAGAGGCAGTGCCTGTGGGATGGTAATTCCCCTGTGCGGATTTCAGAGAAACATGAAGGATTTGGTTATCTGCAAAAAGTCAATCCACCCATGCAACCATCACATTATTCTTTGCCGTCTGTTCATGATTTACATTGTTTTCTATTCAGTGAATACTTGACCGTAAAAGTGAAGTTTTGTCAAAATTAAAGAATGTAAAAGTGATGTTTTAAGATATTTAGTGGGATATTTAGTGTTAATACTTGAACGAAATAGATTAACATCTTGATAGATTACCGATCAATTGCATATAAAAATATTATGTCACAAACCTGTGTTGAAGCTGAAGTGATATTTGTATGTCTTTAACATTATTCATTGCATGAAATGTCGGCAATAACTATCTTTCTAATTTTTTTTTTACATTTTTTATGATTTACTTCAAAAAGCTTTCCCACATCATGAAAAAATCTAGTTGAAGCCAACAACCTTGACAACTAGGCCACATATGCTTACTGTAGATCTTGTTGCATATGGACACACAGGTAGCATATTTTGTATTTACGCATACATTAATAAAGCAATATTTGTTAAACATCTACTATCCCCGTGGAGTGCCGTAGACCAGTGATTATATGAAGCCTGAGGTCCAAGGGTCTATTGGTTTTGAAGTTATTGGTCCAAAACCATTTTAACATTTACAATAAATGTGATCTTGACATCTGTGAAGTTTGAGGACAGAGGGCCCATTGATTGTCGAGTTAAATGGTTGGAAACCATTTGGACTTAAAGGTTAATTTGACCTTGACTCCCTGCTAAAAAGAAACATAGGGGTCATCTACTGGCCAAAACCAATGCACCTGTAAAGTTTGAGGGCCATGGACCCATTAGGCCAGTAAATGAAAAGATTAACCTAGAACTAATTGCAAATTTTTTTTAGCAACATCTCACGAAAGAACATAATCTGAAGTGTTTATCATAAAAATTCCTGAAATTTTGCGAAAACAATAAAAAAGATATAGGTTTTTAAATGTAGCGTTTTTTGTCATTTTGCACTTGGCTTGACTGCGCTACCATACCAGTAGAATTCTCGCGCACAAGTCCGTGAAATCGTACATGGATTGTTGAGTTATTGGTCACATCCCCCAAAACAAGAGGGCCATGATTGCCCTGAAGTCGCTCACCTGTATATAGGCCCCCGGGGCAGGGCCAGTTTAAACCCCAGGGCTTTTATTTGAACAAACTTGGAAGACACCCATTAGAAGATGTTTCATGATGTTTAGTTTTTACTACACACATATAATGAAAAACAATGACCTCCCCCCCCCCCCGGCAGGGCCAATTTTAACCCAAGGGCTTTTATTTGAATAAACCTGGTAGACACCCATAAGAAGATGTTTCATGCTAAACATCTAAGCTCTAGCCCATTGGGTTTTTTAAAAGAAGATTTTTAAGTTTTTACTATACACATATAGTTAAAAACAATGACACCCCTGGGGCGGGGCCAGTTTTGACCCCAGGGCTTTTATTTGAACTTTGTAGACACTTACTAGAAGATGTTTCATGCTTAATATCTAAACTCTAGCTATTTGTATTTTTAAAAGAAGATTTTTAAGTTTTTGCTATATGCATATAAGGAAAATCAATGACCCCCGGGGCGGGGCCCATTTTGACCCCAGGGCTTTTATTTGAACAAACTTTGTAGACATTCACTGGAAGATGTTTCATGCTTAATATCTAAACTCTAGCTATTTGGGTTTTTTCAAAAAAGATTTTTTAAGTTTTTACTATATGCATATAGGGAAAATCAATGACCGCCTGGGGCGGGGCCAATTTTGACCCCAGGGCTTTTATTTGAACAAACTTGGTAGACACTCACTAGAACATGTTTCATGCTAAATATCTTAGCTCTAGCTCTTTGGGTTCTTTAAAAGAAGATTTTTTAAGATTTTACTATATGCTTATAGGGAAAATCAATGACCCCCCTGGGGCAGGGCCAATTTTGACCCCAGGGCTTTTATTTGAACAAAATTGGTAGACACTCACTAGAAGATGTTTCATGATAAATATCTTAGCTCTAGCTCTTTGGGTTCTTTAAAAGAGGATTTTTTAAGATTATAGGGAAAATCAATGACCCCCTGGGGCGGGGCCAATTTTGACCCCAGGGCTTTTATTTGAACAAACTTGGTAGACACTCACTAGAAGATGTTTCATGCCATAAATCTAAGCTCTAGCTCTTTGGGTTTTTTAAAAGAAGATATTTAAAGTGTTTCCTTTCGGTTGCCATGGCAACCAGAGTTCTACATGGAATTAAATTCTTTGAACAATTTTTGATGGTGACCATCAAAGGAACATTCCTGTGAAGTTTGGATGAAATTGGCTTAGTGGTTTATGAGGAGATGTCATTTAAAGAAAAAGTTTACGGACGGACGAAAAGCGATCACAAAAGCTCACACTGTCACTTTGTGACAGGTGAGCTAAAAAGGGTTCACTGGTCATGACCAATCTCCATTCCGAAATTGAAGTTCCCACGCCCAAGCATTCTCATGTTATTGATAAAAAATGGTCTGATCTACAGACTCACGAACCTACCAACATGTGCAAAGCAATATATCCCCCACTACTCTGAATCGGAAGGGGGTATAATTATTTAAGAATATTTGCAAATTCAATCTCAATTTCTAGATATTGTAAATAATATCATTCTCATCTATGAATTTAATACATTCAAGAAAAATAAAATCAAAGACAAATACAAAGATTCTTTGTAAGAAATTCATTTTATTTAAACCACACAGAAAATGTACCTTGATTTATGTTGACTTTCAAAATTTGTTATGAAAATTGTGTAAATGTGATGTCCACAAACACATATTCTATATAAAATTGTAAGTTTCCTCTTGATTGTTAACAAAAAATTCTACCTAAATTTTAACTACAATGTAACAATAAACACTAGTTACTGAATCTAAAATGAAAAGCGTACATATGAAGTCCATTCCAGTGTTACTTATGCAGTATAAGAAAGTCTGGCAAATTTGTTTCACAGAAACTTTTGGTCCCTCTAAGCACTTTCTTAGGCCTTGAAATTTGATAAAAAAAACTTTAAGATGAAGACCAGTCTTATGCACATTCTGATTGGTTGATTCAGATATCAAAGTTTCAAACAAGCCAATGGAATAGGCTTTATATTTAGACTGGTCTTCAATTCTATATCCCCCACACATGTGAATGCTACAATATGATTGGTGGCGAATAATTTGTAAATTGACCAATGGGTAAGACTAGTTTTAACCGTTAATCTACTGAACTTGTGTAATGAATGTGCCCAGCTTTGTATATGGAATTGTTGATTAAAAGATACAGGGATTTTGATATTAATATTCCAAAGTTGAGCTACCAACAGTATAGGGCCTGGCCAGACTGCACAGATGTACAGGCTTGCCTGGCTCTATATAGGTGGCAATGACTTATCATGTACTGTTTCAGCAGAATAAGGGTTTAAAGAATGTTCAATAATTTCAGACCCGAAGTAACACAGAATATTAAGGTTTTAAGTATGTAATAATCTCATACCCAAAATAATGAAATTTTACATGGTACATATAGCAGATTGAGCAATTAAAGATGGGTGACTTAACAATATGTTTACAAGTACATCATTACAACAAAAGAACAAAACAATACTGTTTGGTGAATATAAATGGATTTAAATCGATACACAAATCATGTTACCTAAACGTATAATTTCTGTAATACATTGTAGAAATATGTTGTAGACCATTTCCTTAATGATGGCAGCAAGTTCAATTTCTACAGGTTCATGAGTTTTATCAGAATACAGCGATAAAATAAAAGAAAAGTATGGAAGACTAACAGTGTCAAAATTGTTAAAATAATGAAATGTAATTGATGTATATAACCGTAATGTACAAATGAATGATGCTGGATGTTGATTTAACATAACGTAAAATTGCCTTATTATTCAAAAGTGATTTTTCTTTTACTTTTAACTCCTGTGACCTTCGCCCAGTCACCCCCAAACTCCATCACGGGTAGGGGTGCCAACATGCCAAAAATTTAACAATTTAAGTGCCTGTTGTTGAATAAAATTATCAAAACTGCTTGATTCAAGATTTTTTTTCCAAATTTCCCATTTGCACCAATGAGGATATAATGACATAGGCAAGGCAATGGGGTTGGCATTCAATGCATTAAAGGCACTTTATTTTGCTACTAGTATCTTGAATAAATCACCCTGTGCAAATTTTTAAATATACATAGATCTAGTGAAATGTGCACTGGGAAATTAATGTGCAAAAAACGTTGGTTTGTAAACAATAAAATTGCCCTAGTAATACTTATGTTAAGATTCAATTTAAAAAAAAATAAATTGCCGTAGTGTGATAAAAGAAAAAAATCTTAGTAAAGAACATATTTCTTGGTTAAAATGTTATTTCTTGTATAGTTTTGTATAATTACTATTTTGAAATAATATTGTGCTAAACTAAAGTTCTACTGCTTACTAAGTAAGATTAAATTAAACAATATATAAATAAATGAATATATTTTATATACGATTAGATCCATTAATAGACATGCTATCATATATAGTAAACAATTAAATATATTATGCTTGCTTCGTTTCGAGCGAGTATTTCACACATCTCCATAAGATATGAAACAGTTGAATGTAACTTTCTTTGAAGAGCATGTGGTATATTAAGTTAAATATTATTTAAAAAAGTACATTGTAGAAATATATAAAGCAAAATACATTTATATAGTCATTTTTTTTCTACAATATTTAATGAAGTTTTCCCAATAAGTGATATACAATAGAGGGTTAATCGCATACATGCCATAACGTCCCAGATGTCCGGGAAAGTCCCAGAAATAAGGTGTCAGTCCCGGAGATGTTTTATGTCCCGGTAAAAAAAATCTTAATGCACCCTTTTTTCCCCTGCATTAACATGTGCAGAAGTACAGCAATGCATTTAATGAATGATTTTTTCTCTGTGAATGTACAGTGTATGATGATTTTTTTGTTTTATGCAAAATTGATGTTTAATTCATATAATTCAGGCAAATGTGTACCTGCGTGCACAGCTTTTATGCAAGAATGACTGATAAAAGTTATGTGTAATGCACATAGTCAAGGCAAATGTATAAATGTACTGGTTTACACAGTTTTTATGCATAAATGATTGATAAATGTCATGTTTAATTCACATAGTCTAGGCAAATGATATTTTCTATGCAGCCCTGATAGCAAACTTATCTGGATGGTTTCTCACTTTTGAAAAAAAAATTACGAGGAAAAATGGGTTTAAATTCATACAAGTAAAAAAACCTGATCTGAACCTGTCCCTCCTAAACCCAGAAGAAAATTTGAAAAATACATAAGCATATTTTTTTTCTTCTATTTAAATCAAGTGAGATACTTATATTTCTATAACATGATAATTATAAACTAGCTTTACTATATATGTGGCTATTTATAATACATGAATATAACAACAAGCATTAAATAATATTAATATAAATATACACTTACATGGTACATTTCATTGTACAATACAACTTAATAATTTGTATTAAAGTGGATTGGTCTACAATGGGCACATTGTCCATAAGTATATCAAATATTGATAAGAACAATAGGAATGTAAGATTTGTATTGTGTTAAGAAATATTTCTGTTAATGTTAAATATTAATGTTAATAAAGAGCTCTAAAGAGATTTAGTATCAATACAGTCGAACTTCGATTAGTCGATTTTCTCTATGTGTCGAAGAAAAATTAAAGTCCCGACTTTTCCCCCTATATATTCCTTATAAAAACCTATTTATGAGTCGAGATTTTATGCGTTGAATTTTTCGATGTGTCCAAGTTTTTTTCGTGGTCCGTGTTAAGTAAATCTAGTGCAATTTACCACAAATAAGTTGAAGTTGTTCGATTTTTTTTGACACCGTCGATCTCAAGACATTTTTCACACCTTATCTGGCTGCGAAGATGATTTCCAATCAACTTGTGTGACAGGTGTTAATTACATAGCCGTGTTTAAACAGTCTTTGTTTGCGATAAAATGTGTGATAAAGTGCTTTAATCGCTACTATTTTAATTGCCGTAGTGGTATTTGAAAGTAAAAAGTAAAGAACTACTTTCATTTGATTACATCCTTGAACCCGGTGTCGCGTGAGAATAACAGGCGAAATATATACTATAAGTTGGTTAAATTATCGCCCTTTCGTATTGTTATGCCTTTTGTAACTCTTGTATACGTCAACGGGTAGTCTAAATAATTAGCCGTGAAAAACGCTATTTAACATACAATATTTATCATTGTAAAATGTGAATATCAGATTAATGATGATAGGTTTCGTTATAGACTAGTCACGGGTCGAAATTTTGTCATGGAATTGAGTGCGATTCATGAGTCGAAGTCCCGATGTGTCGAAGTTTTTAAGCAAGTCCCTTCAACTTCGACTTACCGAAGTTCTACTGTACTTATATGATGAATAATAATATTTTGTTCTAGAACACTTTATTCTTTCCTATATATTGGTAGGTCATATCAGATATTGTATCTAACACTTTCCCTACTACATCTATCTAAAATTTGTTTTTGGTTTGTTTTCACTTATGATACAAAATACTATATAAAAATACTATCAGCATGATTATTTTAGGCATTACAGATCTTCCATTATCGACCAAATCACTTTAATACAATGTACATATTACATTCATACAAATACATGAATATAAAATCTATATAAGAAAGCATAGTCTATAGTTACAGTTAAACAGTAAAATATGCATCAAAATGGAGAAAGGCTTGGGGGAATACAAAAAATCACTCTTAAATATGATAAAGTATAACCTTTGTAAAGCAACACCCTTTGGGAGACAAATACTTTGGTTGCTGCTTAGAGGTAATTGCTGTACAGAGGGTGGCTGTGCGGAGGTTAAACTGTATACATAAATTATGCATCCTACCCCATTATATAAAAACTTCTACTGAAAAACAGCAAGAAAGAGTACAAAAAAGCCTTTCATTTAATTTATAAATATGTAAGCTGTTGAGATTCAAATAAAAGCGAAAGAAAAACAATATTAATTATGCATTTTGATAAAACAGATCAATATGAAAAATCTCCAAAATTTACTCATGGGTTAAACTAAAACAATTTTATTTTCTCCTTCACTAACTTTCAAAAACAAAGAATAACAGTCATTCTTAGGCCATAATGGTCCAGTTATACAAAAATTATGTAAACAAGGACCATGCTCCTAAACTATTTCTTGTCTAGGCAGACACAAGCAAGGTGACATACATGTTTATTAACCAATGTAAAAAATAGAGATCTGCCATTGGTCAATTTTAAATATCAAAATAAAATCAGCCTATCAAATGCTTATGTTAATAAGTTTTTTTTTTTCCAATTTCAAGTTTTTTTTTAACCTCTGAATGTTGTATACATAATTATACACTGTATATAATGTAGACATCCAGTTTTAAAACAGCACATGTAAATATGCTATAAAAAATGTACTTGAGAGATTGTCATGAATTCTGGCAGTATCAATACATTACAAAATAACTGAGCAGCTATCTTAGTCTTCAAACTAAAACAAGGGTGCCATAGTCACAAAATACGCCCGTTTACGAAAAAGCTTTAGATGGAGATGGGGGCATTATGGATAAGTGTTATCTAGCAAGCAAGTTTTTATTCTTGGCACTGTGTTGTTAAATGAACCTTAAAACAAATCAATAGGGAAGATATGCACAGAATGTGTGACCTTGACCTTGGTCGCAGGGACCTGAATTTTATACACGGCACTCAGCCTCACAATGATGAACATTTGTGCCAAATTATATTGAAATCCCTCTATGCATGTAGAAGTTTT